GGCGGTGGGGGTGGCGGTGGCGGTGGCGGTGGCGGTGGCGGTGGCGGGGGTGGTGGAACCACTCCTACAAAAACCATCCCGGTCCGTTCAGCTGTATCTGGCCCTACATTGCCCTACATGTCAAGAAACCAAGACGCAAGACAGAAACACTCGGCTTGAAGCAACCGTACCATCTGAACCTAAGCGCCAGGGCACCCAACGCATAAGGCCAAGCCACCAGCACATCCCTCTGTGACACGTATGCGTCCAGCGCTGTGCTGCGCGGTCCAGGTGGCTCGGAGTCCGTGATCCGTGGCTGGAAAACCTGCACATTGGCCCTTCTATCATTCATGGGGTTCCAAGACGATGGTGCCGACGAGGATGACGAGGAGCAAATCATAAGGCCAAGGAAGGAGTCCCATACAAGCAAGTGAAACTCCAAACTCTGCAGCCAAACACTGAATTCAATCAGCAATCCAAGGCACCCACAGAGGTACGGGCCCAGTCCCACGTGCACGCAAAGCAAAAAGCAGCTCGCAGTGTTGTGGGTGACCATACCTTGGAGTCCAGCGTTTTGGGGCCAGGCGTGAAGGTTAGAGGCTTGGGATGTTGGTATTTGCGGGCCTGAGACGCGTCCACAAACAACTTGTCTGAGTCCAGAGCCTTAAGGCCAATGGTGACTTCGGGTTCCCTTTGAAAACCATATATCGGAGGCCTAGCAGTTATAGTTTGACGGATGGCATATGGAGCAGACACGCTTTACACAGTTCTTCAAGAACACCGCCTGGAGGACCACACCGCCTCTCCCGTACGATGTCTCATGCTACTGGTCTACCGGGATATTGTCACATGATGTCCAGGTAAGACATGATAGACTCAATGGCATGCAGACCTGTGCTGTGAGTGATTTCTTTCAGCGACCTCGAATGGGACGCAGGCAACAGGCCTCCCTATTCTGCTTTTCGCCGTGCCGCTCTCCAAGCGGGCCGTGTGTCACCAGGCGCGACCAGTAGCGATCGAGAAGATGTTTGAGGTCACGGTAGAATGCTCGGCGTCGCAAAGGGTTTCGGGTAGGATTTTCGGCTGAATGTCGTCCGTGGGGATAGCTCGCCATGGAAACTGCAGAAACAATGCTTTTGGCTGATTTGGCTGGCCTTTGATGATTCCTACAGGCCAAGCATTCCACGTTGGATAACTTGTACCACGATTCCAGGCATGGGGATGTCCAGGAATGCAGGTAATCGGCAAACTCCCTCGCTTCGCCTGCAGAAACGCACCTGATTCTCGAAATACAACCTGCCTCGTAATCCGGCTGCTTTTGCAAAAGCGTGGAGGGTTCTAGGGGGGTCGGCGTGCAAGCAGACATGTATTCAATGCACATATCAGAACAGCATCAAGAGCTTCAAAACCCGACAGAGTGGACGAGTTCTTGAAGACGACAACGAAGAAGTACCTTCTATTTGTCCGTGCCAACACCTCCGTCCAACACTTTAGAGCGTGGGAATCTGGGTTTGATCACGGTTGACTTGAACCCTTACAACTGTTGTTCGTTCTTTTTTGATGTTGCCAATGCTATGAAACACGCGTCATCCGTGCTTTCGAAGCCTGGCAGATGCTGCCAATACAAGTACTGCTGTGATTTCAGAGGCCAAGCTCTGCACCTACTGGAAAGCGCTGTGAATGCTACAGCTTGCAAGCTGCTCTGATTTCGAACTGCGTGAAATCACAGGCTCCCAATGCTGCCCGATACTACAGATTGCGGTGCTTCTGTGCTTACTGCTGCATTTCTGTTTTTCTGACCCTTGCAGATGTTGCAAACTGACAGTCTTGTGGTCATGAAGGCATGACCAAGAAACACGGGGAGCACCAGAGGACCTTTGGAACTGACCGTGGACGGCAGACCGAAGAAACGTGCCTCCTTGGCCACGAAGGCCGCTGTACCGGCACGTCTTGCAAGGAAGCCCCACCAAGCAAAGAAACAAAAGCACGGGGACCCCTGAATTGACGCCGCCGAAACAGCTCAAACTCAGCAGCCGGATGCCTCGAGGCCCAAGAAAGAACCAACAAGCCAACAGACCGCAAAATACAACTCTGGACACGCGACTTCGACTCACACACGGCGTGCAAGACTAAACTGTGACTAAACGCCCGGGATGCGTTGCAACGCTCCAAGACGGCCAAACTCCAAAAGACAATGGGTCGCATGCCCAATCATCTGCAAAAGAAACGGTGATGGCCGAGGTTCTAGGATGCAGCGGAGTGCACTTCGAGCACTCCGGGAAGCCAAGGAGGCCTGCATGTCTCAACAGACGCTTTCCAAGCTTTCGGTCGTTATGGTCGTTCAAGCAGTCAGGAAGTCAGGCCCCTCAAAACGTTGATGGTCCTTGATTCTTGATGCTGCAGTCTGCGTCGTGGCATATGAAGCATCAGTCTTGAACAGATGCCGACAGGCTATCCGGCAAGGTTTGCTCAGGACCTACGACTGATGAAAGCTGCCACCAGAAGCTTCTAAGCCTCTCCAACCCAATCAAAACGCGAAAGATGCCAATGCTTGAAGATTGAAGACATTTCTTGTTATGGGACTCCGGGGGTGCACATTCGTGCGCTGCGCCACGCGAGGCATTGAATGGGGCTTTGACTCATGCTGCCAAGACGCGAACTTCTTCCACCTCGGGCAGAGGCAAATTAAACGCAGGCGTCGGAACTCACACCTGGGCCCTGGATGCTGTGAGCCTTGCAGCTACGAGACCGCCACCGTGACAACAAAGTGCGTCTGCTGCACATCGAGGCCCCTCGCTCATGACCATCAACAGCCGAACCCAACCCTCTTGTCCGGCATCGACAAGTTCAGCAAGCGCTTGAGGATTCATGCGGCCATGGGCGCACGCTCGAGAACAATAGACCAATTCCAGCTGGGTAGCTCTCATGGCACAACATGGACCGAAAAGGCGTCGCCGGCACGGGGGAGGGGGCGGACGACGGGCGGAGGGGGTTACTGACCTCAGCGTCTCTCATGAAGGTTTGCATTCACGATTTCTCAACTTCGGGCATTTGACCCGCAGTGCATTTTCAATATTATTCACTGGGCATTACGTGTATACTTCGGTCCTGACAGAACGGATCGCTTCAAGTTGGATCTCCTTCAGAACGAAGCCGACGCTTTTCACTCATTAAGGGCTCCACCACTGAATGCAAAATCCCAATCATTTTCATGGGACTTAGTAACTTCGGGATTGTCAGACCCCTGGATTGCGGATTGGATTAGGCTTGGGCAGGTCCGGACAATCGCCTGGTTTCGCTTGGAGTTTTTTCGGATGTCGGCGTGGTGGGGTCTTCCTCCCGGTCCCAGTTCCCAGACAGCGCTCGCTGGTATGGAACCTGAAGCACTCGACTTTTTCACCCTAACCGTTCGGACCGTGGACCCTCAACTTCCCCGCTTCAGCATAAAGTTCACGGGGAAACTCAGCGCCACAAGATCCTGACCGCTGCAAGCGTTGCCTCAACCAGAACCTGCTCTTCTTGGCACACGTTGTTAGGGCCGGTGCTTCTGGAAACTCTGCCAGCGCTTGTAGCAGCTCGTTTTCTCGGTTGTCAAAGTCCTGCGAACAATGCTTTTGAAAGAGGTGGAACTCCATACAATCAATGAACCCGAGACCCTGGACCGCAAGAGAATTGAAACCTGCATGTTTTAAACTACGAGGCTCCCGACAAGACGCAGACGCGAAAACGCCCGCTTGACGAGAGAAACCAAGAAGCATGCCACAGGAAAAATGACAGTCGTGGCCTTCCCTGCTGTCAGCGGGAGTCTGCTGTGCATGAACGAATTTCAGTCATGTTCCACTGTCCGTCGGTAAAGACCTTTAAAAACACACCTGCTCAGCCAACCGATATCCAGCCATGGGGGTCATACGGGGAGCCGAGTACCAGCGTGTTCGCTTCCACTTTATCACGCGCGATAGCCTTCTCACTGGCTCAGGCTGCATTCTAGCCTTGTCGGAGATCTGGCGTCGTTCGCTGGTGAGTGGCTGCTGGATGTGCTGCAATTCACGGATGCAATGATGCAACAATTTCACGACAGTTCACCATCTGATGTGAGGCAGACATTCACGGAACCCTCGTTGCTCCATGACCTCTGTGAGTGTGTGATTCTTAGGAAGAATCTAAAACTCGATAAGTACTCCTAGAAACCACGCCGCTTGTACACACCTAACAAGAGTTGATGTTGCAGAGTTTAAGGCCAGGTTCCGGTTGGGGATAAGGGTCTGTTCGGCAGACGTCACATCTAGCAGGCGCTAAAACTTGAACCACACTCACTGCACTGAGAGAGCTTACCAAGTCCCTGCCATTGAACTTACTTACTCTTGTCGAGTCCCTCGAGAGAGCTGGCCCTGGATCCTTGCCACTCCCAGGACCGAGCTGCCAAAGCTGGCAGTAAGCCACGGACATGCGGAACATTCTGCAGACGGCACGACGGGCCTCTGCCGGCATCGTGACCACGACCACCTTGCCCAACCAGACTAACAGGCTGAAGCTTTACCTTCCCCACGAGATCGTTTTGGCGCTGATTGCAGAGGAGGAGTTCACAAAGAACCCTGCATACGCTGACTGATACTGGTCACATTTAAGCGTTTCTGGGCCTCCGCTCCCCCATGCACTGAAACAACGACGCGATTCGACTCCAAAGGAAACGTCACGAGGCAGACCATGAATTGGAACACTGTCGCGAGCAATCGAAAACTGGTAGACAGTTCTTGCATCATTGCTGCAAACGCGACACACAATTGACAATGGGCAACAAACGCATGTAGCACGTAGTTGCATTTCACGAATTATTTGACGAAGTACTCGGTCATATGTGCCTCCGGGCTGCCATCCACGAGGGGCCTTCGGAAAGCAGCGCGCTTCCAAAAAGCACCTGAGTGCACGAGACCGGCTGATGAGGAAGGTTGACAATCGAATCACGCCATGAAAGTCTTTCAAGTTCGGAGACCAAAGCCCCGCATCACTGGCAGAGGAGGAGAACATAAAGGTCAGAATATCGCCTTGGAGAGTTCATCTTTAGAACTTTAGACAGGCACAATTGCATGCTAATGGCTTTTGGAGGGTTTCTTGCAGATGTCGGTGAATCAAAACATGCCTACAATCCTACAATCAGAAACCAATGCCGACCATCTCAATAAACAGTTTGCGATTCTTGAAGGGCTCGGATTGAGGTTCTGGCTCCTAACAGCACTACCTCTGGGGGCCCTGAGCGCCCAGTCTAACACTCAGTCCAGTCTAACACTTAACTTCATCCCGCCCGGGCGCCTCATCATCGGCGTGCGCGACGACCATCAGCTGCTGGGGTCCTTTCCACGTCTTAAGCGCGCCCTTCGTCCGATGTGCTTCCTCTGCCGTGCACACACAGCTTGCCCTCGCCCTCGCCCCGCCCTCTCAGTCTCATTCCCTCTCCCGCTCTCCGCCGCTCGGCCCTCCCCTCCCCTCCCCTCCCCCTTGCTCGCATGGTGGCCGTAAGTCTTTTCACTCGGCTGGCTGGGCGCTTACAGGCATTCTTACAGTGTCTGAAGCATGAACAACATGCCCCTCCTGCCTGCCGTCGTCTGTTGCAGGACGTGCTTTCGCGGGAACGTTGGCAGCCTGTAAAGCAGGGCCCTTGCGTGTGTCGGATTTGGAGATCATGACTTTGGACAGCTCGACCTGCCTGAAGGCAAAAAAAAGACCACAAGATGCAAGCAAAGCTCAAGAGCTGTGAGCCTGCTGACAACCCTGAAGCCCCTCAGGGCTTCGAGCCACCAAGATCCAAGATCCCTCAAGAGCGAGGCTTCGCCAGCCGCGCAACTCTAGAGCTTCTCTAGCCGTTCATCCATGCATCCAAACCATGGAAGACACCCTGCGCATCTATCACCAAAGCCCTTCACTCCAGGCCATGTGCTAACCCATTCCCTCAAAGTCCAAACCTCAAAGCTGACAACGTTGCCTCGGGCCGTGCACTCAACTGCCAAATTCCCATGTTGGCTGGCCTCAACTGAGGCTGCCCTTCCGCTTCAGCCTTGGCAATAACTCCAGCTAGGGCTGTAGTCTTGAACTGTACAGCTTTAGCCTGATATTCCAGATTCGATGTTTCTTCCAACCGTGAGCAGCGTCTTGCTTACAGTGGGCCAGCAACGCGATACTTTGGAAGGCCACTGAACAAGTGTGTGCTTATCGGAGCAACGATCCAAAGCAGCCAAGGAAAAGAATATCCGGCAACCCTAAACCTAGTTAGTAGCAATCCTTAAGTTCCCAAACCAACATCCTTGAAGCATCGTTGTCCATATCGACAACGCCAGGCCGACAAGTCCAAGGACGCAAACCGTCTGCAAACCTCCGGAGTCGATCTCGAAATCGCGTTCGCAGGAATCATCTTAGGAAAGCAGCCAGTAAGCCCTCCAGGAGAGCATGTGGTGTGGCATCCGTCTCCGGTAGTGACCCGAAAGCAAACGATCCAGCCGGATACCTCGGTGCAGTGAAAGCTTCGGGATGCTCGTTTCCGTGATCATGGAGTTCCGGAGCCCTTGCACATCTGTCGTCGGGGTCAAGCAGCACCTTCGGGACATGTCGACAAAGACTCTAGAATGCGACTTGGTGTTTCAGGGCGAGCCGTCGCACAGTGCAGTAGCGAGATCCAGATAAATCCCGGACAAAGGACTCAGGAAGTCGGAGTGAAGCAGGCACCTACACCACTCCCTTCGTGCCCCATGATGTGACCAAACGGAACCCTTGCACCGGAATCTGACACTCTTGAAGCCACATGCTCGAAACCCTAGACCCTGAGCAATACCTTCAAGACGCTGGGTCCGAGAGGCCGATTGCTCGTCAAGCCAAGGTCGATGGAAACAGCGCCGTGCTCTGCCAGCCTCGCCAAGCTGTCGGAAGCTGGTTGGCTCACCGATCACTTGTGAAGATCGTATTTTCTTCCAGCAAGGCTACAAGTTGTGTTGTGTCCCAAAGCCCGACACATAAAAGGGTGGGACTCACATCTTCTGCACTGCACATCATAAAGTCGAAGGATTGCACTTCAGGATATGCAGTACAGCTTTTGGAGCAGCCTCAAAATGCAGCCGCGATGCTTGGGTAGGTAGCCACCTAGCTGTTGCCAGGGATCAGTGCTGTGGCGCAGCGGGTAGAACACATCCGAATCCAGCACTTTCACCTGCCGGAGGGGTTTGAAAGTTGAAGGGTGTCACTGAAGATGTAACAACAGTGTGTCCAATGAGGCGACTACTCTTTCAAAGGCACGTAAGGCTATGCTGTGTGGATACCGGTACTCTCTGGGCCAAGGGGAGACAGAGACTCTTGGCCGGAAGAGTAGACTCCATTAATCCGCCGGTCGCAAAATTTGGCTTACTACGCCTACTACGCAGCTCAAGATCCCGAAACCGGTAGACTGTGAGATGCACATGTCCTCAAGACTTTACTCAAGCGCTGCTCCATTGCCTCGGGGCTGTCTGTGAGGAAATGACCAGCAGTCACAAGGTACCTGTAGCAAACTCGCGAGACAGGATGGGGATTGGTGCGCTGCTGGCGCTGGTGGTGCTGGCAGTGCTGTCAGTGTGTGTCGTGCTGGTGGCTGTCGTGACATAAAGCCTGCGTTTGCACCGACTGACATACTTGTATTTCGGATTGGAGCACGTCAACGCGCCGGCAGCCAGAGCATCCCATGGGCCGCGGCCCCAGTCAAGTCGGCAGTGCCTTCGTTGGCTCCAACTTTCTGCGCACGTGCGCAGCGATGAGGGTCTGGAGCTTCGGGGTTCGAACTCACGGTCTCGCAGTTTTGAACGAGCTCAGGGCGCCAAGGGTTTACGGCTCCAAACCTCGAAGGAGAGGATTCGGGACCTGTTGAGGCCATGGAGGCTTTGTGTTTATGCTTTGGGGTCTGGCAGGATCCGAAGCAGATTCGAGGTGGTCCAGCCGCTCGCGGGACCGGCACTTTCTACGACATGATTTCGCCAAGCCAAGCTTCTTGGAAAAGTAGCGCTGCACCAAATTCCTTTTCCTGGCCCTTGCCCAAAAACGTGCGCAACCTTGTTTGCCCTGCCTCTCGAAGCAGCAGGTCCAACCCTGAACTTTGCCAGGCCACTGGAATCTCTGAATCTGCATCTCCAAGACTTGTCGAACCTGTTCAGATTAGAAGGATTCGGGTGTGCTCGTGAAGACCTCTTCCTGAGTCACTTGGGGCTTAATCATGGGGAGTCTGGGCTTCAGATCTCATGCAAAGCAAGACAACATGACGGCACCAACCAGTTACTCGCTCAAATACCTCAGAGGTTGACTTGATAAATAACCTCGAAGCAACAACATCCTTCAAAGACCCATTGTCGACGCGTCTCTGTCTTCCGATATCCTTCATGGGGTTCGAAAATGCGCAGAGGCTCCCGAAGCATTTCCCGCGACAGGATCCGGAACCCCTGGACATCCCGTGATCCACTTTCAGGATTAAAAGAGGACGACCTTGGGATATGGCTGCAGACTGACTGCAACGGAGCAGCCACGAAACCGTGCTGCATGCTGGCCATGACTCCTGCAGCCTCGCGTACAGAATATCAGAAGTGTGAAGGTTTCTGGTTCAGACCAGGATGTGAAGCTCTGTCCACCTTCAAACGTGCCAGGAAGGGTCCACAGTACCATGTTGCAAAAAAAGCTACTGGCTGACAGAACTGTGTTTCAGGCTTAGGGTGGCAAACATCAAAGCTCTCAAATCTGACCTAGCCTCTGATTAGAATCTGCACGCAAACCCGGAAACTACTCCAAGCTACTCAGAGTTCGCCCAAGCAAGACCTGACATCTTCTCTGAAAAGTTCTCGGCAAGCCGCCACGTAGAGCTTCCTGGCAATTCTGCTGCTGAGCTGGACCATGCATGTTGAAAGCTTGCTTCTTCAGCCACCCGCTAGCCCGGCGCGATTAATACTCGTTTGTTGTGGTTTGAACATCATCCGCCTAAACTGAAAAGGTTTCCCGATTGGAGAAGGGGACAGACAGTGCAGAGAGACCTCGACGAAGACCCTTGACCGCTCAACGGGCGCGATGGGAAACCACCATGGTACTTGTCCCCAGCTCTTGGGTTGAGGGTTGCAACAATCACAAACTGAGGCACCAGACGCGGCTGCTTGCGGCTCTCAGCCTTTGATTGATATCCAGAGCGAGTGGGCCATCCCGACACGGGTGTGGGGTTCTTGTGCTCGAGTCCGAGCCCAAGCCTCAAAGCGATGTTTCACGGCCGGTCCGCCCGGGCTCAGCGGCCTGTTTCTGGCCTCCGGCCCTGCGCCTTACTCCTGCGAGGTGCAGCCAACGGAAGAAAGCGGACACCAGCATCGGGCTCAGCAGCTCGTGCGTTGGAGTTCCGGCTTACCCTCAACGAAGAGCTAGGGCCACTAAGCTGTATCGCGCACGTAGACCGATGCATACCGAGCTGAGCTTCGCAGCTGTTCTCAGTCACCTTTCAGTCTTTCAGAAGCCCCACGTGTCTTCAGTCCTAGAGTGTCCTAGAGCTATAGGCTTCCGAATGTAAGGATCGCACTGTTGCAAGAGAGAACACTAGCAAGCCCCAAACGGAACCTATGCAAGAACAGCAACGGACTCAGCATCGGGCCCCCGATTCTCCCAGGCAGCAGCGAAGCTGGCATTGGCCAGGAGGACTGACGATTGCAAACAATTCATGCATGCAATCGCAATCAAGGCAAGCAGAACAAGCGGAGTGATGGTAGGAGTAGCAGCATCTGACAGGCAGTATACCTGACACAACAGCGTTAAAGGTTTTGCAACAGTTGAGATGCCGCTGCCTGAGCTCGAGAGCAGCCAGCAGAATAGGAGCACCAGGAGGAGAAGTGGAACTGGAAGCCGCATCAGTGAGAGTGAGATAGAGGAAGAGGATTGCAAAGCAGCACCAGAAAAATGCAAAGCAATGGCATGCATAGATGAATTGTGTCATGAAACAGCAGCACGTAGTCGCGAAGCGAGACTCATAACGGTAGTAGTGGAGTTCGGAGAAGAGCAAAAAAACAACGAGAATTGCAGCACAGCTCGCTCGACACGAAGAAATCGTGCCAGTCGTTATGTTCATTTCATCCTTTCACAACCAAGAAACTTCAGATGTTAGGCAGAAAGATCGTTCTGCCGTCCGCGTCCTCTGCACCCTAAGCCCAACCCTGAAGGAAGGTCCCACGACCCTGGCACAATCTTGTCGCAACCCGGAAACAATTGAAGCTTCGTAGAGCTGACAGTATATGCGTCAGGGCTTTGACATGAGGATTCTGCGGATCCGGTCATCAACAATCATAATCCACACTGAGGCACTCTCGAGACTGCTTGGAGGACCCAACCTTGTTTGAAAAAAGCGCCAAACACAAGGTTCTGCCGGTTTGGGAGTTTCACAAGAACAAGGCTCCTGTTTGTGGGTGGGTGTGTAATTAAGCTTCCTTTCATTGAGGATCTCTGCGGAGGTCCCTCATATTCTGAAACTGCAAGTTGCTGCCCAAAAAAGCACCAAAACAAAACAGAATTCTCCGGCTGAGCAGAAACCCATCTATACGAAATTATCGCCTCGCCATAGATCAGCCCCCCAAATATTAAACGTTTTTTCGGAAGCATTTGGCCGGCGGATGCGCCAGTTTGAATTAGTTAGGCACGCCTACACACAGTTGCGGCCAGTTGCGGGAACACGACCCACCCCCCACGCACCCATCGCACCCCATGCTGTTGCTCCATTTGGGCCTCAGGCCTCACGTTCTGACGCTCCTGCGGCTCCTGCAGCTTGTAGTGACTTTGAGTCTGTCGCCCTTCTCACGGATCATCACTTAAATTCAGTCGGATGGGATGCCCACTAGACTGTTATGCCCGAAACCTCAGCTTGTTCACATGAAAACACTTTGCAACACACTCTATATATCATGCTGGTACACAGAAAAGGCATTGCATCCTTGCAACCAGAAAGAGTCTGCGTCGATGTAGACACCGCCATATGCCTCATCCCGGGTTTGCTCCAGGGGGTTTCTGGGCTAAGGACTCTGCCGCAACATACCTTTGCCAAAACTTCTGTCCGTCGCTCTTGTCCGAAAAATAGGGAGGTATTTCGGAGCATCCCATGAGTGCACGAGCAATTGATGTGTTTTTGCCGCTGGCGGCATTGAATACCCTTTGCGCTGCACGGCAAAGCAAAGAAGGAGCGGAGCAGCCTCTGTCACCGAGAGTCGAAGCCAGGCGGCGTAGAGCAATGCGAAGCGAATCAGGTCTGAACGACCTGCGAAGGTAGGCTCCTCCAACAGAACGTGGGTCCAGGCTGCGGAGGGATTTCAGTCGGCCAAGGGTCCGGAGGTGCTGCTGCCCTTCATATGCAAAACTTCGGGTGCTGCAGTACCCCTGTATCTCAGAGCTTATGAGATGAATCGAAGCCAGCAGAGATCCGGTGGCTAAAGGTCATCATCATCATCACCATCAACATCATCATCATCATCGTCATCATCATCATCATCATCGTCATGTTTATGGTCAGCATCATCATGATTTGCGGCATCCTCGTCGTAGAGTTGCCGCCAATCCTTCAGCAAGTCGTCCTGGAGCTCGGTCAAAGCCTGCAAGACCTGCAGAAGTTGGCAATGTGTTAGGGGCTTGGCAAGGCTGTGGCGGTCCTCGAGGAATTCCGCACCTCTTCCTCGCTTTGCCATAGACGATGAGTCCAGCTTTGAGATGCAAAGATGGGATAGGCCTGCACGGCTGTGCGACTTCAGAGCTTCGGGTTTCAAGGTCAACGCCCAGCATTTAGGACTTCAAGGTTTTGCGCAAAATTAGTCAGCTTGCAAAATTTGAAATATGGGACTACATGGGCTGCCAAGCTTTCACAATGTCATGTACGCCCTTACAACGCGAGGTGCAAGCTTTCCCCTTTGGTACAGGCACTCAGTCCAGAAGTCGTTCGGGATCCACAGCTTCGGATTTCAGACTTCTAGGTTATCTGAGCTTGAGAGAGACGATGCAGCTCAGGTTCAAGGATAAAAGCTCGATGTCTGCTTGCTCAGGGCTTGCGATCTTGGCGAAATCATGTTGAATGTTGAAGCTTGACCGCATGACTTGAGCTTTTACAGCGAAGGCCTTCGAGGTCTGCTTACGCCTGACCGTTCCGGATTGGCTGGTGGCTTTCAAAAGAACGCCCAACATCAATGCTAAATACAAGCCACTAGCCGTCAAAGCATGAAACGCTTTTCGGGACTTTGGAGCACTGGACGTAGTATTCTGGAACGGAACATCCCGAAGCCTTTCACCTGCAAGCATGGGAGGCTCAACAGCATATCTGGTGCGACAGACCGCCAATGCGACTCCTGGAGCCGTTGCGAAGCCCACTTGCAAACTCCGTAACCTTCAGCAGTGGTTTCAAGACACAAAAGACTCGCAAACAAGAAAGCCACGAACAAAAGCTTCCAACTTTCGCAGCCCCTGGGAGTCGGAGCCTGCCAGGTGCCGATCAGAAGGCTGGGGGCTTTTGGCCCCAGCCACACCTGGCTCTGCGAGGACTGCACATGGTTGAATTCTCCCAGAACTTGTGCATCGTTAAGCACGCCCCTTCAGTCTCTTGGTGTTGCGTGCGTCTGTGTGACCTGTTTTGACTACATGGCTTTCCACCTGGGGACACCTAATTCGGCATCCGGGGCTGTTTGGTGCTGTCCATGCCGTTTGTGCCGGGGGTCCGGTTAATTTCTCCGCCTTGGCTGAGACTCGGGGTTTCAAGCGTATGTGGTCGGGCGGTTGGAATGATGAACACAGCCTTGGGTTTAAGATGCGTGTCAAAACACCTTAGCCGTGGAGTTCTGGAGTTGATTTGTGGCTATGTCCGTTTTACTGTTGCCAAAAGACACATTCTCTCAAACTCCAGGATGCAAAACACAGAACAACAAGTGACACATCTCAAACCTGAACCCAAAGGCTGGTGCAAAGGAGTCCGTCAGCTTGGTGTCGTTGCACCGACATGTGAGCGCCGAAACAGCACCAAACGCAAAACCTTCTGAGTGAAGAAGTGCAGCTAGTCTTAAACTGTAGATGTATACATTTTGATTGAAAGATCGAAAACAAGGTACCCAATAACCGGAATTTCACACCCAAACAGGTTGGCTTAGAACCTTACAGAAGATGCCAGACATCATCCCTTGACACGCAATACATCCGGGAACTTGGGCCCTCCTTGCAGTTTGAGAAGCTTCTGGGTTGTGCCAAGCGCGACTCCCTTGCCGCCCGACAGCGCACGCCACTTCGAGGCTCAAGCACGAAGACACGAAAAACCCTTGCCTGGTGAATCAGTCTTGGGATCTCGCCGTCGACGCTGCCGGAAGGCCCATGTCTCACAGGAGGAGGGCGGTATGGTCCGCGAGGGCCGAAGAGACGATACCTGGCGAGCGTGGATCCATAAGGTCTGTCACAGCTGTTCATTCGCACCGCCACACTTGCACTGGCAGGGACGACAGACTGCCCTAATGCGTCAAGACCCTGAACCCGTCCGCAGCAAACCCCACACCATCCCCGGGCCGTGCAAAGCTTAGAACAACTCGGGGCTGGCTGCCAAGGCCATACTCTGAGTTTTCAAACCAAGCACCTGACAGTCATGAGCCATGAATGCCGCTTACCACCCTGAATCATGTTTGCTGTCCAGTGGCGTCAGGCTTTCAACAACGGAGGCACTTTGCACAGAGAGCCTGTGCTTGGTTCCGTTTCAGGGGCTCCAACACATGAAAGCCGAAGCCAAAGCCTCTGCGTCTCCTCATCCCGGCCGGGCCGAGGAAGCGATCCGAAGACGAAGCTTCGGCACTTCGGAGTACCGGTATAGAAAAAGCGTTGGTTGCCAGGTTTGAGCCTGGAACCTGTGGCTGGCAAGGCCATCGCTGTGACTTCTCTGAGCGTAAGGAACTGGCTTTCAAGAGTTTCAGCAGACTCTCTCTGCAGGAACTCATCGAAAGCCAGGGATTCAGTTGCCAATTACTCTTGCGTTGCCGTTTTGTACGTACGTCGTCGGCGAGCAGTAAAGCTTAGATTTTGGACTCCTCTGAAAGCAAACCTTTCCAAGTTTCGGCTGGTTGGATCTGGGTATGATAGATTCTTCAGCGACATAGCCCAAGGCTTAGAAGAAGCGCTTCGGTAAGCATGCAGCTCCTATGGCGATCCCAGACACGAGGGACCACAGCAGAACTGACTCCCGCTCACTGCCAGGCGGCGCCCGACCCGCCCCAATTGCGTCTGCTGAACTTTGCTGATCCTGACACCTGCCCTGTCTGAACGGAGGGTTGTTTTCTCCAGCGGTGTTTCCCCAGGTTGTCGGCCGAGATGCATCACACGCTGCATGCTCAGTGCCGAAGATTCCTCAGTGCGGTGTTCAGAGTATAGGTGTAGGCTGTAGGCACTCTCGTCCCCAATAGACATGCAAGCTTTTGCCGTGCCAAGCAGCCACTGCACAGTCCAGCACCAGCGCTCCATCCACACTGGCACGCAGCCGGAGGTCCTCATGTCCCCGTGTCGTTCAAGCTTCGTGCACGGCCCACGGTCAAGATTGACAAGGGTTGCTGATGGCCCCGTGCCAGGGCACTAGTCATGTAAAGCATAAGCTGGCAAGTAGAGAAGTGCTCCGGTTTCAGATCTTTTGGCTTGTGCTGGTATGGACCTTAGCATCCAGCGGCCAATCTCACGCAAACGAAACAAGATTCTGAAGAGCCTAGCATTTTTCTGGTGTCTCAACACATGCCAAACATTGCCAAACCCTAAATTGCTAGATGATCAATGAGGGCACACCCCTCTGCTCAGAAAGCTCCCATTGCCAAAAGCCTGTCATGGTATACAGAACTGGGTTAGGTTTCAGATTCCAAGTCCTCTGAACCTTCATCCTCTGTGAAACCTGTGCCCCAACCCCTCCCGAAACCCAGCACTCCGGCGTGAGGGAGATGCGGAAGAGAGCACTCTCTTCGGTTCCATAGACGGCGCCTTCCGAGCTGCCCGAGCTACCCGAGCTGCTAAGTGGCTAGACCATGATAGACCAGGGTGTTTTGGGTTTGGGGCTTTCCATGTATTGCGCTGGGATGTAGGTTCTCCGGAGCTTGGTGTCGCGTCGGGTGTTGGGTTGAACGAAAACGACAACTACCAAAGAGGGATTTTGTGTGTAACCTTTCCCTACACGACATCACTATGAGAAGCATCGCAAAACGTCACGTATCCTACCGAAGTAATCAAAAGCTGATTACACAGAGGTCCGGTCGGGTTTCATACCTCGGAGATGTGAATCTCGATCTTTTCAGAGGGCTCATGGTTTCGGTGCTGCTCTGACTTTGGCTCTCATTACAGAGTACAGAGCTCAATGTTCAAAGCGGGTTGTTCGCGGGGGCGTGACTCAAGCGATCTAGGTTGGGGCTTCAAGTTGCAGGCCTCCTGGGCACGAGGACCCAGGTTTCACAGAGAGAGCTCCAACCTCAGCAAAAAGGAACAACCCTCATGTCAGCGCTGCAGCCATTACCCACAAAGCGCACCGTAAGGAAAGAAATGCAAACACAAACCCCACCTGAAAGGCAAAGCTCAAACCACATCACACAAGTTCAAGAACCACGCATGCAGGACCCTGCAACCCCCAACCAATCTCAACTAGCCCAGCCTTCACAAACAGTGATGCCCGTGGTGGGGAAAGCACCTGATCTCGTGCCAAGAAACACCAGGGCGCCTAAATCGAGTGAGCTTGAAATTTTGCCAACTCCGAATCCCAAGTTGTAAGGCCAACGCCTACGAGTCTTGATTTTGCGTGAGACCCGTAATCCTACAACCTTTCCATGCCGACCTCAACGGCGTGGCACTGAAAACCCTTCAGGCTCATGACGAAGGGGACAGAAAGCCGCTACAGCATGAAGCAACAGCACACACAGCAGGCAGATACTCGGCGCCAGTTGGGAGGGGTTGTCCGTAGCTGTACTGGCTACAGTCGGAAGCACCTCCCCGATTGTGGGCTTGGTTTCGTCTGCACAGGGCCTGAATTGGCAGGTGTAAACATTCTCGAGCAAGTCGCAATCGAAAGCCGACAACCCTGGACACCAGCAAGAACATCCATAGTGTCCATAGTGTCAGCCCTCTGCCAGTCTACGGCCGAAGCGATAAACTCCAAGCTCAACTTGCCAGCCTGACACTCTCAATCCTACGAGAAAAAGTCGGTTGATGCTAGTCCCGAACTCCTAAACCCAAACTCCAACGACTCTAACACCAAAAACGAAGCCCCTCTATAAGCCCACTTAATGTCTGGACCCAGCGCGAATCTCCAGCTTTAGCCAAGAGTGATCACCTGCACTCGCCCAGAGATGGGAATTAAGCTTTGGGAGATTTCGGCAGGGCCCTCTTCGAAGTGGCTGCAGCCGTCATTTCGGGAGTTTGGGCTTGGCTGGGGCTTGAAGGCCTGCGGGTACACTTTGTTGCGGTCCGCCGTGCCATACCCTTATTAGAGATCGAATGCCTCCAAAGCTGAAGTCTTGATCTTGCCGGCCTTGCACTTGACTCTGACCCCAAACCGTTTCATTAAGCTGCCTAAGCTTAACCGAATAGTCGTACGGGCCGCGGCAGGATCCTTCAACTCCAAAACGGAAAGTCCCGAGCCCGTCAGGGGCCGAGCCTTCCTTGCGCAACAACGTTGCCGAGAGAAGAGTGCGGGCTTCCTGGATGCTTGGGACTTCATAAGACCTTCGCACTAACCAACATGCTTCAAGGTCTACAAAGCAGAACCGCAAAGCACTGCTGTCGGCAAGAAGACTAGCGGCACCGCGCTGACAGTTCGGCCAGAGCTTGCATTGGGTCCGAGTCTTGGATCTGAGAATTCAGAGAGATTCGGCGATTCGAGTAAATCTCAAGGTTGCTTCGTTTGCATACGAAAAGCACCGAATCCCTTCGACACTGCAGCTCCCGACTACATCCCACAAATGCTCCCCGTGCCGAGCGTGGTGACATCCAGATCCAAGCAGTCCGAAATCCCCGATCCGACTCTCACCTCAAGGCCCTAAATCCTCATGTCTACACACAACCCCACAGCACATAACGATCCCACAAAACAAGCCTGCAGCAACAAGCAAGGTCCACGTTGGGGGGCGGTGGCCTTCGTCGACACCCCACACACCCAAAGGCTCCCCTCCCCGCCTGTGCATCGAAGCACAGCCTTGTGACGTTCTCTGTGCCTGGCCGGTCCACCGGCTCAAACTCAGACATGGAAATCAATTCAGCTAAAAAACACGAGAACAGCAAACACGAAACAGCGCAACAGCCATAGCAAAGTCCGAGTTTGAACTACAAGCATGCGGATGCGTTATTCCTCTACCACCCTTCCTTCAATCAGTCGATCTGGGCTACAAATCTGAACCCGACACTCTCAATGTCACATTGTGCGGCATTACAGGGAGGCTTCTATAACTTGCCTAAACCCCGAAAGTTCTAGAATCGAGAAGGCTGGATTCTAGATCCCGCAAAACGCTGCTTCTGTCCTGAAATCTCCGTCTGATTCTCCATGCAAATGCGACGGGTCGACCACTGCGTGGACGCTTCACCCGGAAGCTCAGCTCAAAGAAACGGAATGTCATGAAGCCTCGCCTTGCGTTTGGTATATCAGATTTGCCTTCTACCTACAAAGTCTCGAACCTAGCTGGAATATCCGATGTTCTTGCATTTGCTTGTTGAGGATTGCGGGAATCAAGCTTCCTACAGGGATGTCGGAGAACATCCAACATGGATGAAAAGGCTGGCACCAGCTCCGTCCGAGAGTCCGTCCAAAGTGGCACGTGTGCACGAAGTCTGCTTCTGGACTTTACCAGACTTTATTGCCACTCCACATGTTGGAGTATTCGGGAAAACCCAAAACACCGGAAAAGAAAAATTGCGTTACCCCTCTTGACTTTCATCGTTTGCATTTTCTAGCCGCTCCTTGAGCATCATGTGTTTATTGGCTCCCGCATGCCTGCATGTTGCATATCGATTTGGAGTTCAACCTCCACTCAGAAGGACAATGCGAGATGAATCCTGAAGATCCAACCTTCCCGTTCTCGGATCTCGCTGACAATGCTAGGGAACTTCGCCTTGAAGCGTTAAGGACGCTCAGGTCACGACGCACCTCCGAACTTGCCCCCTGTCAGCTCGCATAAGGGAAGCCCGGAAATAAACACTTTCAGACTCGTCACGCGACGAGAACCGGGTGAAGAGCATAGGACCTGTGCAGTTTTGACTGTTGTGTCTTTCTCCCTTCACTCAAGTCCCAAAGCCGGAGCACATTCCTTGTACTGCCCAACCCTACGCCCCAGCCTCTGCACTGAAAAAGGCAGAAGCACCTTGACTTGAAAATCTACCTTGCTGACCTGCTGGAACCCAAGCTCACTCGTTCTAATCCTGGACTCCGCCCCATGTTGCGGTTGGTTCACCTCCCAACAGCTTTTCGCACTTCGTGGACTGACAGGCTTGCGATGGATTTCGTGCTGGACAATCGCTTTCGAGACTGCGTTTCTTGTATTATCTGACAATGGAAAAACACGGTAATACGGCAGGGAACCTAATTCAGTCTCGAAAGGCGCGATGCCCCAATTCGATTTGACTTCATCGTCGGCCATAGGCCCTAGGCCTTGAACATCTCAGACCGAGGATCCGGCGCAGGAAAACGAAAGTGCACAGCTCCATCCGCCGGCCTGCAAGCGCCGAAGAAGGAGAAAGAAATATCTGGCGAAAGCGGCTTCTTGGTAGTCTGCGGCTTCTCTGCTTTGTGGGGATTGGGGACTTGTCTAAACGGAGCCTTGCTGGCGATGCCTCTGACTCGACAAGCAGCGCACCTCGCAGCACGGTCTGCAATTTCCACCCTAACCCAGTCAGGCCCCAGTCAGAGCCCTCCTAAGGTGACTGGAGATCAGATTCCACCACTATTTCGGTCGAAGCTTCGCCCCACCTGCGCGAACAACTGAGTCTCCCTGAAACCCAAGGATGAGGCTTTCGAGCTCCTTTAACCCCATCAGGAACATCAGGAGCCTGGCCGCACGGGGGGGACGCCACTCATCCGCAGAGAACATGCCCTGGGCTTCGATGTTCGGGGAACGGTGGCCACGTGGTCGCTTTGGCTGGTGGTGCACGTGCTTGAGGTTTCATTCTGAACGCGCTTCTGGAGACACTGAGTGTGCTTCAAGCCCTCAAGGTTCTGGTGTCGGTTGATGGGCATGAGTTAGCTGTAGAGTATTCGTGTCTCTTCGACAAATCCCAACATCTGCGCCTCCTTTTCTTTATTCAGGAGTTGACATTTTGCGAAGAATCCTTCGACGCGAATCCCGATCAGCAGCCCTTGCTCACCTTTCTGGGTTCAGTCGGTCTTGGGGTCAAGGGTATGACGGCACAAGCTGAGCGACGTATATCTGCCGACACCCAGGCGGGTGTGCCACCCGACTCTGTCTGCGCGCTCGAAGAACGTCCTGGGTTCCAGGGTCAGCGATTTGACACTCTTAGCCGCGACCACCTTAGAAAACACTCTACATCTTTCGAAGGTCGGAGGTCGTACTTCTGGGCGCAGATTTCGTGTCTAAGACTGGATGTCAGAGTGCTAAGCTTGAGGATGTAGTATCCAGGTGTAGAATTTGGGCTCCGGCGAATCAAGAGAGCATCCAGTTGTGACAAGGATCAAGAAGCAGCTCCCAACGTCTCCGATGACCTGAGATCCATTGGTAAGTGTTCCGCCCTCGGCACATTCGTTGATTTTGTCCAGGCAAGGTCACAGGTCCACTTGACAAAAAAAGAGTAAACATTGCAACTGCAGAAAGTCTTCAGGTATCGGAAGATAGGGTTTGAAGGTCGTTCCCAAGTATTACATCCCCGTACCGCCTCTGCGGAGTTGACCTCTCCGGCCACCACACCGCGAAAGCCTGCTAGGGCGAGTTTTGGATATGGAAGTCAGAGTCGAAAGCTTTACGCTGGCTGGAGAAGTTCCAGCTGTTGGGCATGAACCCTTCGGCAATGGATTGTTTGATCCC